GCCCGGAGGCTGCTCCCGAGTTGGCCAGCGCCTCTCGGGCAGCAGGACCGGGCCCGGGCAGCCTGCCCTGCTGGCTGCACCGCTCCCGCTCCCTGACCACGGCCCCAGCCCTTCGGGGGACACGGTAAAGCGGGCGCGTGGGGGGTACAACAGCTCAGCGACCTTGACCTTGAACCCCCGTTGTTTCATCCCCTGAGACCAACACTGCTCCCACCTCCCTTCCGTCCCCTCGCTGTGACGGGACCTCCGAAATGGAGACTGGCGAATCAGTGTGACAGACAGACACAGACGGACGGACAGACGGACAGACGGACGGCCGAGGCTCTGGGACAGAGGGGTCACCCCCGCCCCTGGCAGCATCGGGCACAGGGGTGAGAGCCCGCGTCCCCTGTGTAATAGCCTGCTGAAATGTGAAAGGGTTAAAGGATAATTAAAACCTGAAACTGGACAAAGGAAGTCTATACCTTAGGCCTAGTTTCTGGAACCCCTAACCGCATTCTGTTAATCATGAAACTTGTAACAATGAGCTCATACGCTAACTGCCAATTTTAGCCTGTGTAACCCTGCTGGCCTGCGTGGCATGAAAAATAATCAATTGTATATAAGCTGAAAATTACTGTTTGGCCATCGCCCATGGGAACACTGGCTATTGTCCATGGGAACATAGGCAATCACCCGTAGGAACATAACATTCTAACACAAGCTTTCTGCTTCTGTACTTCCTGCTTGCACAACTGACCAGTGGGTTGACAGGTAGCGAATAGGAGAAAGATGGACCTTTGTGTTTAAGACAGAATGAGGAATGGGATTTGGGGCTTAAAAACCTTGTATCTTGGCATTTCGAGGCTGCTCCTTTGCAAGGACAGCCGCCGGCTAATAAACTGTCTCCTGGTTAAGAGCACTCAAGTTGGGTCTGGTTATTCTGGACACAACACCCTGTAGGAAGTAACCGTGCGCCCTGGGAAAGGCCCGGCCGCCTCCCGTAACCCAATCCCCGCCTGGACGGCGGTGAGAGGGGGCGGTTTCCAGCACACGCCCAGGACGCATGCTCGGGGTCACCTCGCAACCAGCCACCCAGCTTGTTGGGGGTGACGAGCACCCCGGCCTCGCCCAACCCTAGGCTTTCGCCCGGATAAAAGCCGGGCTGCGGGCGGCTTCCGGACCAGCGGGAGGCCATGGGGCCGGCGGCGGGGCAGTTCCGTGCCCTGCTCTGGAAGAACGGGCTCTGCAGACTCAGGACCCCGGTGAGTGTGGCTGCCCGGCCGGCTGCTGCCCGCGGGGGCGGCGGGGACAGGAGGCCTGGCCCAGCCAAGTGTCTGATCCCTCAGGACTGTCGAAAAGTCCAGGCCAGGACATCCGTCCGAAAAGGGCTCATTTAGAAAACTCTAAAAAAGTAGGTGAAATTTGAGCTATAACTGGTGTTTTGGGGCATCTCATAAAATCTAAGCTGTGAATCCTCCGGTCGAAGGGACAGAAACACAATTAATGCATAAATAGTGAGTGCGGGGCCCCCCCAGAGGGAGCCGCCGCGGTCTGTGTCCCCCCAGAGGGAGCCACCGCGGTCTGTGTCCCCCCAGAGGGAGCCGCCGCGGTCTGTGCCCCCGGGGCTGGGGTGACGCCGCGGTCTGTGCCCCCAGGGCTGCGGTGACGCCGCGGTCTGTGTCTCCGGGGCTGCGGTGACGCGTGACTCTGTGTTCTCTTGCATCGAACCATTAGTTCACAGGCTTGGGAACTGTATCAGAGGACATCGCCAGGCCCTGGTGCGTGGTGGGAACGGCTCAAACCGAAGCAGGGGAACTGCTTTGGGGTCGCCCCGTGGGCGTGCGAGCCGGTGGGGTCGGAAGCCGAGGCTGCCGCTGTGGACACACTGCCTTTGTTTCTGAGTCTGCCGGGCGAACAGCACCACGTGGACGCAGCGGGCAGTGGCGCGGGCCTGCGGGACGCCCGCGTGGCCTCCGTCGCCAAGGCCCAGCGCGGCGTGCGGGGCTCTGCGGACCAGGGCGTCGGTGAGAAACAAAGTGGTGACTTTGAATCCCATTTTGCTGAATTCGCATCCAAAATAGTCTCTTTCCTCCCTGCAACAAGGGCAGCGTTAAGGGGGCGTTTTCTTTCCCGCGAGAGGGTCGGGAGGGGTCAGGTCGGCTGTGGCTGGAAGTCTGATCGCGCCCGGCGTCAGGTCAGGAGCCGAAGCTTCTGGCCCGACCGGCCGGTGCCTCAGGGTCTGAGTTTCACGACCGGCGTGGGCTCCACCGACATCGCGTTTGCTCTGGGCGCTGAGCCCGTTGGCCCCTGAGCGAACGTTATGGGGGAGCCGGTTTCCCGGGCCCCCTTCCCGCTTTTCTTCATGACTCGCTGAAACCCCAGACGCCTCCGTCTCCCCTTCGCTGGCAACGCTTGTGTGGTTCCAACGTGTTCGCGGTCGTTAACGCTCCTGGTCGAGCATGCGCGTCAGACACACAGCGTTTGTCGTTTACTCGGTGGCCGCTTGTTTACATGGTGACCCCTGCCCGTCCCTCTTTGCCCGATGTTCTCTCTGGCATCTGTCACTGCTCCCGCAGGGGCACGTGCTCGCGTCAGGCTGACAGGCCCGCGGAGTGGACGCTCTTTCTGATTTGTTTGCCATCGTCCCCCGCAGCAGCCAGAGCAGCGCCCGGCACCCACAGGTGTCCGACAGCAGGGGTGGCTGAGTGCGAGGGGAGATGGGGGCCGCCTTGTCGCATCTCTGCTCCGTGCTCTGTGCTGGGAGGGCCAGGCCGACGTGCCCGCCCTCGGGGAGCTGGGGCTGGGGACAGGGAGAGGCCACGGAGCGCACGCGGGCGGGCGGCAAGTCGGCTTCTGAGGACACCCCTGCAGGCGTCCACGCACCTGGTGATGCTGGCACAAGGTCGCTCATCACAGCAAGAGAGGAGAGACTACGTGAGGGGCTTGGCCCGAGACGGGCAGCCGGCCGGACGGCCACCTCCGGCTCTGCCATCCCCGGCTCCCCGAGTCGGCTGATTTGTGTTTTTGAATTTAGTTTTCATAATGGTTGACATGCAACACTCTGTTAGCTTCAGGCGTCCTGCGTAGTGCTTAGACATTCGGGTACCTTACAAGGTGACCCCCGATCCGTCCCGTCACCACCTGGCACCACCCTGACTGTCATCCCTGTGACCTTACGTCCCGTGACTGTTTTATAACTGACGATTTGTCCTTAATCCCTTTCGCTCGGTTTTTCTCCCTACGAAATGAGATGATTTGTGAGGAAGGAATGAGTGAGCGTGTGTCACCGCCTGGCTGGCGAGCGGGCGCCGCGTTCTTATTTGGACCAAGTACGGAGACGGAGGAAATGGGTGGCCTGTGACATGGCAGGGGGACAGCCCCGTGGAGAGTGAGGAGGGAGAGAGGAGGCTGAGCGGAGCGGGGGGTGAATGCGAGCGTCGCGTCTCCTCCTGTGACGGCCCCCGCCAGCGGCCTGCAGGGCCACCTGCGGCTCACGGCTCCCTCCCGTCCTGCGAGCGTCCTGTGTCCGGTCTGTGTCGGCCTGGCAGCTTCCTGCCCACGGAGACGGGGCCTGGACGCAGGGTCGGGATAAACGATGCGGCCGAGGG